GATCAAATATGGCCGCCGAGTGTGGGCTAAATCTCGAACTGTGGCGTTTCTTTGTATAGAATCTTATCGGGCTGGGCCACGTTGTGGGGGTGGGCGGGGTGGGGGAATGCACGCAAGGAAGAGGGGATGGAGCAGGGATGAAAGAGGAAGGGCGGGTCTTGGGAAGGGACGAAGGAGAATAGGAAAAATTAAATAAAAGAGAGAGAGAGAGAGAGAGAGAGAGAGAGAGAGAGAGAGAGAGAGAGAGAGAGAGACAGACAGACAGACAGACAGACAGACAGACAGACAGACAGACAGACAGAAGAGAGAGAGAGAGAGAGAGAGAGAGAGAGAGAGAGAGAGAGAGAGAGAGAGAGAGAGAGAGAGAGAGAGAGAGATAAGATGTTATGAGTGCATGATTCTAGGCGTGTGCCATAACTAACTTTATGTGTAAGGAATAGCGAACACAACAGAGGGTCGATGCCAGCTTTATCTGATTGCTAACAGTATGTCTTGGTCTATAAATAATAATATTATTGATTACAATAATTTTGTTTCCTGGTTTTCACAAAGTAGAGCGCACAATGATTTCAAATATAAAAAAAAAAAGAGATAACAGCACCTTTTCAGGTGTGATCGCATGCACGAGCGTGGATGACCTTTGAAGGTTTTCTTTTTTGTTTTGTTCAATAAAGTATGATATGGAGAGTAGCGTTTTTAGTCCCTTTTTACACTCCGGGGGGGGGGGGGGGGGGGGATAATTTATCTCAGTGATGACTCTTGTGTATTAAAATTTGTTGTTGCTTTGTTTGGTTTATTTTTTAACAGCAGATTCTTAAGTGAACCTGAATTATTGATTGTGGGATCGTAGGTGAAGACTACAACAATAGAATTAAACCGAGTATAGTTCTATCTAACAAGACTCAAACTCTTATCCACCCCACCCTACCCTCTCCCCTAATCTGATATGGTTTGGTGTTTCTTTAACATAGAAAATATTCATCATTATTGTTGTTGAGTATTTATTTCATATTCTAATGGAGCCTCCAGATATCTACATTTAGACAACAGTAGCATCTAATTTGCACACACAATGGAAAACAATATAAATGTATAATATGTATATACACACACACACATAATAATTATATATATACACATAATAATTATATATGTAAGAATAAGAATACTTTTAAAAAATTGAGTATCTCGGTCTTTCTGCTGGGGTGTTGTATCCCTTTCAGCCTGGGTTGGCCTTGGCAGGTAGCGCCGGAGCCAGCCTCTTATGAATGTTAATGATCTAAATTGTGCTGCTGGGGGCATAAAAACACTTTCATTCAAATTTTTTTAAAGGAAAACAACTTAACTGTGAAAACTTCGGTCCACTGCAGCATCATATCGGTTCTTACACTTAAATACAACACAGATGCAAGGCATTTTTACTAATGGACCTCGGAATAAAACCTTCTTTCTTATCTAGATTTCAGTGCGTGAGTCGGGGATTCGCGCAGCGCAGGTAGACCACAGTTCCGCCGCGAGAGAGGGCTCCTATCAGGCGTGCGGTGCCGCCTACAGAGCATCCTCCATTACTTTTAATCTCCTTGGGATGAGTCGCTTTAGGAAAATCCGGATATGTTGGTGCACCCCATTAGGAAAATCCGAATAACCGGATTTTAACCCTATTTTCCTCTGCACCCCATTCTAAAGTTGGTGTGAGTCGCTTTTCAAAGTGGGTGTGAATCGCTTGTGAAACGGTCGGCGCTACCTAAAAAAGATACCCTGCTTTTTATATCCTAGTTTACAATTATTGACTCACTCAAAAGTCTGAATTCTCTCAAAGTTACAGATCCATTAGTTATATATGTACGTGAACAGTAAGAAGAAACTTCGCCAGCTATTTCCCCCCCATCTGTTTAGAGAAAGAAGAAAGTATTCATTGGGACAAAATAAACGTGGTATGTAAATTGATTCACCACCGCAGTACCGGCGACAGCGACCGCGGGCAGGATGTGACGTCAAATCATGTCAAGGTCCCAAACCCCTCACCCGCCCCTCTTTTTTTCCCCCGTTCCCCAAACATGCCTTTGCGTGAAGGTGTTGATGACTGACGTCATTCACAATACCACTACCACCGAGCCCTCCCCATCGGGTAGGAAAGCAGCTGTGATAGATCTAGATTCTAGATCTAGATCTAGTAATTTTACCAACTCTATGATTAGTTTCTTGTTTTGTTTTTGTTGTTGTTTTGTTAACTGCATAGGTACATGCCGGCCCGCACCCCGTCCTCCCCCCCCCACCAATCACACACACACACACACACACACACACACACACACACACACAAACTCACATACTTACACAGACACACACACGCACACACACACACACACACAAATACTTACACAGACACACACGCGCGCGCGCGCTCGCACTCATTAAAAGCGACCTCCAAAAATATATAGATCCAGATCACTGAACAATGAAAACGTAACAGTAGCCTAAGCTACAAAAGTCAAAGTACAAATAGATCCCCCTGAAACCCCCCTACTCTTGTGGCCCAAACCCGTTAGTAAAATTGCGGGG